TGTTCTGAGTGTGTTAATCTATCATCTAAAGGAGATATAACCTAAAATTTTAACCATTTTGAACAAAGGAAAACTAGATTATAACTTTTCTCTTGAAAGAGATCGTATCATCTGAATTTTTGTTCTGTGAGGGCATCACTGTATGGCTATATGAATCCCTTATTAGAACTAACAAAAAATATCATTACCTTTTACCAAATACAGAGACTTTTCTTTCAGATGCAGGTTTGTTTATACTCAACTTTCCAAAGGTTGTTTTTTCTTTGCTTTAAGAAAAATAGAAAAACAACTTTTTAAAATAAATACAAAAATATTAGCTCAAGAAACTTTTGGAAATACATTAGAACCAATACCTCTTCCCCATTACTTATAAAATAATTAAAAATCATGAAAATTTTTAGCAGCAATGGTAGCTGTTATCAATTGGATGGGCTAAAACATAGTACTATAGGTTATAATACTTGTAATGGTGAGGGACCAGTAGGGGGTTCCTCTGGTCCATCCACCCTTTGGTAGATTTAGCCTTTTGTTTTAACCCTAGCACTGTCCATTTTTACTCAGCATGTTTTTAATAGCCATCTAAAAATTTTCTACCCTAAATTTGCAATTCCGAAGAGTAAAAACAAGGTAGAAAATTTATATCCCAAAGACACAGAACTTAGATTTCATGCCTAAATACCATTTTTTTCTTACCTTAAAATTTATACTTGAATTTTTTTAAAATTGATATATAATTATACATATTTATGGGGTACATAGTGATGTTACAACACCTATAGTATACAGTCACTAGATCAGGGTAATTATCTTCTCAAACATTTATCATTTCTTTGTGTTGGGAACATTCAATTTCCTCTTTTTAGCTATTTGAAACCATATATTAACGTTACCTATAGTCATCCTACAGTGCTATAGAACAGTAGAACTTATTCCTCCTATCTAGGTGTAATTTTGTATCCTTTAACCAATCTCTCTTTATCCCCTCCTTCCCGCTTACCCTTCCTAGTTTCTAGTATCCTCTGTTCTACTCTTTACTTCTATGAGCTCAACTTCTTTTAGCTTTCACATATGAGTGAAAACATGTGGTGTTTAATTTTCTGTTGCTAGCTTATTTGACTTATTTGCCAAGAGAAAGAAAGGTGTAGCTAGGAAGCCCAGTTAAGACCAAACAGCCAGAGGGGAGGAGGGCTGTTATGCAGATTTAAGTCTCTGGCTTCTTCACTGTAAGAATTTCTAGTGACTTGGTCCTCCTCTTTTCCAGGTGCAGCCCAAAAACCTTATCTACATTATGATTTCAATTATCTTAAAATATGTACATTTATGGAAACAACTTTAAGGAAAAAATTTTAAAATAGGTAAGTTCAATCACAAGTTGATAACTACATTTAAAATTTTTTCTTTTAAAATCTTCTCTTTATCAGAATGTAATTGCACTTGACATACATAATCTAAATTACAGACAAAAAAAAAAAAACATTGACAATGGTGACTTTTTAGCTTCTAATACAATTCAAGGCATAAACTTTTTTTTTTTTTTTTTTTTGAGACAGAGTTGCACTCTGTTGCCCTGGCTAGAGTGAGTGCTGTGGCGTCATCCTAGCTCACAGCAACCTCAAACTCCCGGGCTCAAGCGATCCTCCTGCCTCAGCCTCCCGAGTTAGGTATGTGCCACCATGCCTGGCGGCTATTTTTTTCTACACATTTTTAGTTGTCCAGATAATTTCTTTCTATTTATTTTAGTATAGATGGGGTCTCGCTCTTGCTCAGGCTGGTCGCGAACTCCTGAGTTCAAACAATTCACTTGCCTCGGCCACCCAGAGTGCCAGGATTACAGGCGTAAGCCACCGCGCCCGGCCCAAGGCATAAACTTTTGGTGTAAGTAATGTGCAACAGCACAAAAAATTTCCCTGTTCAAAGTATTCAGAAGGAAAAATACATAAATATTTCAAATTTCTAAAAGTAGCAGACGCTTATATTATGTAAACCTATGTAATTTAAGAACAGTTAGCAAGTATCTTGTAGCTGGGTATTAGAGAAGGATTGATACAGCTCTACAGTGGCTTACAATTAGCCTTCTCTTAACTAGAAGAAAATCACTCATAGTGAAAAACTATAGTTTACGATAGCCAAGTTCTTTTGGACACTTTTTCAGGGAATCTTGAGGAAATAGTCTGGAGAAGTGGTGTTTTGTAGCCTGCTACTACATTACAGCTTATTATCAGAGTAAATATTAATAATATTACTCCGATTTGATTGAAAACGTTGCTAGTTGGAAACATCTCAGTAAACTGAAGTCACAGCACAGAGTCTGTTCAAACAAGTAGCTCTAGAATAAAGGAAGAAAATAAGAGTGCTGAAGAAGAATTAGTTCTTTTAGGGGATGCCTGGTAAAGAACTTGGCTTTGGGAATTTAAGAATAAATGAGATGCCACACAACACCATGCCCACTTTTAGACTTCATTGATCCAAAATTAGGTACCACTGGGGACAGACAGGATTCACCAAGACATCATTCATATTACATCTTTGAATTAACCATTTTTATGATTTCTTTGTCCAAGTAGATAAACTATGCAGGTCAGAACCACAAGGGAGACACTTACGTTTGAGGGGTATAGAGGCCCTGTTTATTCAGGTCCTGGGATCTTAATTCCTGCATAGAGAGGCGGCCAGCACCACCAGTGGAAACCGAACCACGCTTCATGCTTATGACCTACATTCATGAAATCAGTATTAAAAAAACTTTCCAGACAAAGATGGTACATTAAGCAACTATTTATCCTCAAACAGAAAGGCAGCCAGGCTTCACTGTTTTTTCAAGATAACCTTTCCCCTGGAATATCTTTATTTGTTCCTATATGCTGAAGTCCTCATTTGTAGGGCACATCTATTTAACTTTATTTAAAAATATTCAGCACACATAAACCTTTATTAACTACCCATCATGTACAAGAAAGTATGCTAGGCAATGCAGGAGAGACAAAGATGAGTAAGGTATGATTCTTGCGTTCACAAGGGTATCCATGGTAGCTAAAGCCCTGAATATGTTAATCCACACCACATTACTGCTGTAAGCTGTGCCTGTCTCAATGGGAAGTCAAAGAACTACCTCAAGTTCTCTTATTCACCTCAAAATGTTTCCTTTTCTGTGGTCTCAGAGAATGGAGCTATTCTGTTTTCTTCTTCTAATGCCAATCTCTCCTGTTCTATCCTTAACCCATTGTTTCCTAGTTCATAGTTCATTACTGCCCTTTTGGCTTTAATCTCCCCTTTAACAAGGATAAATCATCTGGTCCACAAAATGGTCTATAGGCTGCTTCCCTCTCAAACCCCATTAACATCTCATTCCCTTCACAGTTACTAAAAAGGCTGTCTCCTAGGATACTCACGATTGACAAACCTTTTGATCCTGTCTCATCTCTGTACCCAGCATTCTCAGGTCCTGCCCTGGCTTCCAGGAAAGTGGTTATCCTTGTACTTCTCTGTGTACTGCTTAGTCTTTTACACTGATTGCACTCGTTCCTTCTTGGTTTTGGCCGCCTATGTCTTCTCCTTCAGTGAGAGCTTATTCATCTGTTCATCTTTTCCACTCACACCCATATGTCCACTCTCAATCTTCACTTACAATGTACTCTCAAGATTTGAGATTAAGACTTCCACACGCACTCCTCACGCGGCCACTAAGATGCTACACTAGTATGCAGACGCAACGCCCCGAACAGTTCCTCTCTTGTCCTTCCCCTCTTCACCCCCCTCAACTCTTCCCCCTTCCCCCTCTCCAGCCTCTTCTCCCATCAGTGACCCCCAGGCCCGCCCCTTCTCCCTCGGAAAATCGTTGCAAACAGAAATTTAGAGGACTCCGTGAACCTAGCGCCTCGCACAGATTTGGCCCAATGGCCTCTCCCAACACCAAAACATTGTCCCTCAGGGCCTCTACATTTGAATTGTTGGCGCCATCACTTTCCTCCTCCAGAACAGCTCTGCAGAAACCAAGTTAACCCAATGTCATTAGTTACCTTTTTTCCAGTTTCCCGACACAACCCAGGGACCGAATTTCTGTAAACCGTGCAATCGTCCGCTAGATACGGCAGCAGTCATCAAAACACCAGCTCCTTCCTCCGCCCGCCCAGGCCGTTCGAATTTGAAAAGCTCCGCCGGTGTGACGCCATCACGCACGACGAGCGCACGCAACTCTCTTGCGACCTCTTCGCTGCCGGAACTGCGCGTGCTGTGAGCGCCCGGCTGCTTTGCGGCGCACGCTAACGCCTCTGGGGCAGTGTAACCAACCCTGGGCGGATCTGGCCGGACTCCTAAAGTTAGCTCTGAAGATCCAAGGGCGGCCCGAGCGTTCCAAGTCGCTCTGGAGATGTTTTTTTCCGTACAGCGACATGGCGGCACCCGTTGACTCCTAGAAAAGGAGGTTTTTTTTTTTCCCCCCTGAAAGGGCCGTCTTTCATGACCACTGTTTAGATGGGTGCTGTTTTCATGATGAGAGTCTAGGAAGGCGGCGTGCACTTTTCTGACAAGGGAAGCAGTGAGGTAGGAGGTAGTGGTTGCTGAGTGTGGGTGCAGGGGGCTCCAAGGATCGCGCTAGCGCGGGTGCCGCCAGATTTCGGGCTCCGGATTTGACTGCTTGCAGGGTCTCACGGACCTCTAGTGGGGGCTGGCCTGCGAGAAGCAAGAAAGAATCCCAGTGGTTGGGGGTCGCCAGGGGATGGATGTGAAGCAGAGAATCAGGGGGGGTGCACAAAGCACTGTAGATTGCTAAAATAGGATTTCCCCGCTTCTCTTGAGTTTGAACCCAGAGACAGGCACCGCCCAATACCTGGAGAAGGTAGGGGTGGGAGAGGAGCTCAGAGCTTCAGAGAATCTGGATACTTGGGTCTTTTAGCAGTTGTGCCATTAACTAGGGTTGTAATTTTTGGGCAAGTCGACTTTTTTCTCTGAGTTTCAGTTTTCCCGTCTAAATTTCTAACTCTCATGAGCCGTTGCAGAGCCTCCTCACCTCACTTGGTAACTATGAAGGAACAGGGGTGGGTGGGGGACCAAGGATCACCCTGGGTCACCGTCACCAATAGCAGCAATTAGCATTTACTCGAGCAATTGACTTTGCGTCAGGCAATGTGCAGCGCGCTTCGTGTGAGTCATCTCATTTAATTCCCTAAACTGCGCTTTGAGAGATGTCATAAAAAATGACTTTGAGGCTCGTTGAGATCAAATGATGTGTCCATGGTCATATTGCTAATACATGATCTGTAGAAGGAACAAGCTATTTTCCCTCTACTTTCATACCAGCGATCAACACGGAAGACCTCTGTGACCTCTGGTCACCGAGAAGTATGTGGGGGATTTCTCCCGCTCAGCAAGCAGTCAAGCAATTCTCCGGATTCTGCAGCAGCGGACACCAGCTAGGTGTCTCTAATTTAATTCTGACACTATCTACCTTGAGATAGTGTCACTTATCACAGCATCATTGTATAGGCATGCTTGATTAAATCATTGACCCTTGGTGGTCAACTCGACCTTCAGCTCCTCTTTTCTCCCTTGAGGAGGGTTACAGCTAGAGTTTAATGCTTCTAATGTGCTGTTAAAATTGCATTTGGCCAGGCGTGGTGGCTCATGCCTGTAGTCTCAGCTATTTGAGAGGCTGAGGCAGAAGGATCACTTGAGCCCATGAGTTTGAGGCTGCAGTGAGCTATGATTGTGCCATTGCACTCCAGCTTGGGTGACAGAGCAGGAGCCTGTCTCAAAAAGGGGGAAAAATTGCAGTTTCTTTGACTAGACCAATTTTTCTTTTTACCCTATTACTCCATTGGTAGCAGTGATTAAGTAGGGCAATGAAACTGGAGAATGGGCTGACTTACTAGGGAAATTTGAAAAAACAAGGACTGACCTGCTAACAACTCCACCTGAAATTCTGTGACCCTCTCTAGATAGGTTTATCTCATTAAAAAGGGTGAATTCTCATAGGTAATTTAGTATTTTTTGCTTTGACAGGACACTGTCAGCTTTTAAGGATTCAGTGATTTCCTGACTTGGAGGATGTGGACTTTGTGGCTACGTCCAAAGACCAAAGCAAGAAGTTGTCAAGAGCCTAGGAAAATAGGAAGATCAAATTGGGATTCTAGAAATCAGATCAGGTTTTAACCCCCTTTGGCCAAGTTGGCTGAAAATTTGAATGATCAACTTTGAAATTAAAAGGAGTTGATATTAAAATGTAATTTTTCTTAGAACTTCTGCATATATTAACATGTGCGTTAAATTCTCTTCAGTGTACATGTGAGGTTTATATATTTGCACATCAGATTTATTTATCTGTGTGTATGAAGTATATGTTTATTAAAATTCCAGACATTTAAGAATCTGATCTGGAAAGTTGGGTTTTACTTCTAGTCCCTAATTGCCAGAGGCTTTTTTAAAGCAAAAGAATGTCTGTGGTACACCAGTTGTCACCTGGGTGGTTACTGGATCATCTTTCTTTTATTAACAAGATAAACTATCAATTTCACCAGCATGATGATCTTTGTTGCAGTAGAAATGAGCCCACTTCTTCTGTCCACTCTGATTCTCTTCAAGTGGATTCTATATCCTCTTTTGGAGCCCGTGCTACATTTGTTTCTTCTGACTTTACCACTAAGCCAAAGAACAGTGACGGAGAAAATTATGAAACATTCACGCAAAAATATGTTTTTCGACCTGGACTGTTTGATGTCACCAAACCTCATATAACTCCAGCTGTTCACAAAGAATGCCAGCAAAGTAGTGAAAAGGAAGATCTAATGAATGGTGTTAAAAAAGAAATCTCCGATTCTATTATTGGGAAGGTAGAAAGTTTTAAGAAATATTTATTTTTCTATAGAAAACATAAATGAGATTTATCATTTTAATATCTCAGCTATCTTGTGATTTATTAGGTATAAAGAAGAATCAATAAAACATAAGAAGCCTTTAGCATATACAGAATAACTTTTACCTTTTTCCTAATATTCTACCATTCTTAGAATACCACATTGCATAGTATTTCAAAAATAAGCAAAGTTGTCCCTGAAGTGAATGTCCTATAAATTAAGCAAAGAAAATAAATCCACATAGCAAAAAAACCTTTTCGGCTTAGGCATTTGTAGTAATTAAATTTACACCTGTTTTTGCTAAAAAGAAAAGTTTCTCTGTAAAATTTCTAAGCAGTAAGTGTTTTTTGGAGATTTTTAGAGAGCTAACCCTTGGAGATAGCTCACATAATAAAAGCTTGGAAGAATGGTGATTTTTTGAAAAGTTTCTAATGAGAAAAACAGAAAGCTACTATACAACATGTATATGCTTATAAAGTATATACTTGTACATATAAAGTTTTATGTAAAGTAAAGTTTTGAGAATGCCATACAGGATCAAATTAATTATGCTTTGATACTTTTTGTGCCTTTCGGGAGTTTAGAGTTGATTATACAAAGTCCACTTCAGATAGATTATATCAGCATTTTCTTTGTTAGTGATAGGATTAATGTTCCTTACCCAACAAATGTTGAGCTCTTTCTATGTGCTATTGTACATAGAGCGATGAAACAAGATAATCAAAATCTGTGCCATTGTGGATTTTATAACTGAGTAGAGGTGAAAGATTAAATAAAGCATGTTGAGAATTAGAATAAGGAAAGTAATAAAGATAATTTATTACATCGTTATAGGTACCCAAAGTAGAACTTTTAATATTCTCGTGATTTTTTTGTTGTACATATCTTTTTTCTCTTTCAACAAATATTTATTGGTTATCTGCTATGTGGCAGGCACAGAAAGAAAATATATAGTGTTGTCTGATATCTCAGTAAAATAGTATATAGGTAATACATCATAAATAATTCAGACATATAAGCATTTGTAAAAGAACTTTGCAGTTTACAGAATATGGCCATTAATTTTAATGTTTAGTCTCTTAGGTAAATTTCTTATTTTAATATGGAAAAATGTAAGTGAATATATGTAATAAATGTTACCATGACAAAACTTACCTCATTTCTGATATGCTAAAGCAAATTATACAATTAGCTTAATCTTAAGTACATTTATTTATTCAGCCAACAAATATTTATTGTTAGCCTGCTAGCACCTTGATACCGTATGTAAGCACTGGGGTTTCAGGAATAAAAAGTACAAAGTCCTTGCTCTATATTGACAGTCTTACATGTTCTTTTTCTAGGGAGTTGTTTTATATAGAACAGTGTTAATATATCAGATTTGTACATAACTCTCAGATCAGTCATAAAGAGCTTTAAAAAGTACATTGGAATTTCTTTTGATGACAGCACATGGATCCTTCCTTTCCTCAACAGTGAAGTTGAGAATAAAGCATACGTGTGAACTGATGGATGACACTGGTGACTATTCATACAGTATCACAGTGTCCTTATATTCCATGGTTGCCGATGCTACGCTTTATCATGCAGAACTAGTTCTCATTAATAGAGATAAAGCTGAGATGAACTTTCATTACCCATTTTGTTTTTGTTGTTTTTTCTTTACTTTGGGAATGCTTGTCTCCTTAGTCCATACCCTTTGCTTCGATTTGGACCTCAATAGACCTCTTAAATACTGAGATGTATAATATGGATAATGTGATTTAAACAAGTATTATATTTCAAAATATCAATATTTTGATGGCAACATAACTTTTCCCTTGTAATTTATTTACCCTTTAGAAGCGTAAAAGATGTGTTGTTTTCAATCAAGGTGAATTGGATGCTATGGAATACCATACAAAGGTAGGTGTAAAATCATTGATCACATTGGAAGATTAATGTGACATGGTAAATAGAAAATAAATAGACAATAAGTATAAATAAAGATGTTCTTCAAAATCAAGCAGTCATTTTGGTTAGGGTTAGAATTTAATAGTGATTTATTATTTTATAGTAATGAACAGTTTAAATCAGTTTTTGTTGAAACAATTTATACTACTATTAGTTGAAATATTTAACATAAGTAAACTTATATTGGTTAAGTTTAGATGTTTTAGAAATTATAAAAGCCTATTGTCCATAGGTAAAATAATATATTAAGATAAAGGCAGAAGAAAGCATGAATAATGTGAAGTATATATTTATAGAACTTAGAGATAAATGAGATCTAAGGGTTAAAGAAATGACAGGAAACAGAGGGCACACAAATATTTTAAGCTTAACTCTGTGGAGTACCTTTGATAGAAACAGGAAATTTGGGTTTGGAGTTTGGCTTAGGAGGGATGATAATTTCAGTTTTGGACACATAGAATTATTCTCATGGTAGAATACCGGATTCCTTTCTTTTTTTTTTTTTATTGTGGTGGAATATACCTAACATAAAATTTTCAATTTTAACCATTTTTAGGTATACAGTTCTGGCATTAAGTACATTGACAATGTTGTATCATCATCACCACTGTCCATCTCTAGAATTTTTTCATCATCCCAAACTGAAACTCTACCTATTAAACACTAACTCCCCATTCCCCTTTTCTCTGCCCCCTTGTAACCATTATTCTACTTTCTGTCTCTGAATTTACCTATTCTAGGTACCTCATATAAGAGAAATCATGATATTTGTCCTTTTGTGTCTGGCTTCTTTTGCTTAGCATAATGTCTTCAAGGTTCATCCATGTTGTAGCATATATCAGAATTTTCTTCCTTTTTAGGACGGAAAAATACAACATTGTATGCAAATACCACATTGTGTTTATCCATTTGTTTATGGACAATAGAGTTGTTTTCACCTTTTGGCTATTGGGAATAAGCTCCTCATGCATTATAGTTTTCTTCTCTAGAAGCTTGAGTTGGTCTTTTTTTAATAGCTTCATGTTTCTTCTTAACATATTCATTTTTTTCTTTATGTTTTTGAACATATGAATATTGTATAATAAGTACCTTAATATCTTTTTCTAGTTTTTTTCCCTAATATTTTTAAATGGGCTGCAGTAAACCTACCCAAACTTTTCTACTAGTAGTATCATCTGTGTCATTCCTGTGTTTTTCTATTGTGTGATTTTTCCTTTTATAATGTATCCTATTTTTCTGCTTCTTTACATTCCTGGTAAGTTTAAATTTTTTGTAAGTTATTTCTATTTTAACTTTTTGAGTACTAGATATTGAGTACTGGATTATATAACTTTAAGTATTCTTGAGCTCTGTTCTCAGAAAAAGTTCCTTTGACACTGGTTGATCCTTTTGAGACTTTCTGTAAGCTTAAGACCAGTGCAAACTTTGGTCTAGAGCTATTTTTAGTCCCCACTGTGGAGGCAGTACCCTTCTGAGTGTTCTACCTGATGCCCTGTGAATTACGAGGTTTTCCATTTTGGCTGGTGGGAGCACTTACTATTCCCAGCCCTATGTGAGCCCTGGGTATTGTTTCCTCTGGTCATTTCATCTGGTTCTTTCCTTGACCTTGGTAGTTTCATCACATGCATGCACTGATCACTACTCAGCTGGAGACTTGAGCGGACCCTCTGCAGTTCTCAAGAGCTCTCGGTGCCCTCTCCTCTCTGGCACTGTGCCCTGCAAACTCTAGCTGCCTTAGCCTTTCCAGGCCCCCAGCTCCGTCTCCTTAACTCAGAGGGACTGTTGGACTCTGCATGTGTCTCCTTCCCCATGCTGCTGCCTGGGAACTTTCTCAAGGCAGTAAGCTGGAATAATCCTTTGTTTCTCCTATTTAGGGACCACTGTTTTTTTTTTACTGCATGACATCTAA